CTTTGAGCGATGTATGGTAGAAATGTCTTAATTTCGAGCCGTGCTCCACTCAGTATAATCTGTTTGGCAGGTGCAATGAGCTGTCAGACCATTTAATTAATCATATGGAACTGAATACCGAACTGATTTTCACGCTGCAAAGGTCATGTAGCTATTAAACAGGATACATGCTTCGGTGTATTTTAATATTCATAGTGGGCTTAACAGTAATAGAATATTCTGATATATGATATAAAGTGACCAGACGTCCGAGATCAAATAGGAACATAACACCCCGAAAAAGGGGAAATAACGGGGACATTTCCAGTTTGATCAAATCAAATTTTTTCTATTTTAAATTAATACTATTACTTCTATTCAGAGTTTTTTCTGTATTTAGCCAGGGACAGGCAACCAAAAACGGGGACTGTACCTGAAGCCAGGGACGCGTCTGGTCACCCTATGACATGTGATGTAGGCTATGATAGGTATTTTGCAAATCACACACTATAAATATGATAGAGAAGCAGAAACAGATAGTGAGAGTAAAGTCAGATATTTTAATAATTTGAACCAATACACAATATATGATTAAATTATATTAGACTACTTGAAGCTTTTTATATTTGTCCCTCTGTCACACATACACACACAGACACTGTACTACATTCTTCTGCATCCATCTCCTCCTCTATATTTCTGCTCTTCCAACAGTGGATTGTGATCCCTTCACCCTGCTCTGTGGAGGTTGTTGCTGATGTCACAATGTTTTGGAGGTTTTCTTCACAGCTCTCATCATATTTCTGTCATCATCTGCTGTTGTTTTCCTTGGCCGACCTGTTGGACGTCTGTTGCTCAGTACACCAGTAGTTTCTTTCTTTTTCAGGACGTTCCAAATTGTTGTGCTTGCTATGCCCAATGTTTGTCCAGTGACTCTGGTCGATTTTCCTTCTTTGCTCAGCTTGACAGTGGCTTGCTTTTCTCCCATAGACAGCTCTCTGGTCTTCCTGTTGGTTTATCCTCTTTAACAGGAAATGCAGTCTTTATAGGTTTGAACCAAGGATGAAAACTTCGACTAGTCATGCAGAGCTATTTAATGTTGGACAATCAACCTAAAAGGCAACACCTGGGCAACAAGAAACATCTGTCAGTCACATGTTCCAGTACTTTTGCTCACTTGAAAAATGGATGGGTTCAAACAAACGGTGATATGTCCTGAGTTGTTTCACACATCTAGATGGGAATACCAGGAAATGAGAGCTGAAATTCTGAACTCTTGTCTTATACTCATCTTTTGATCTTTAACCCAAATGTCTTCAGTGAACAACAAAAACAAAGGATTTTGCCTTACCGTTCCAATACTTTAGGAGGGGACTGTATATATTAGATATTTAACGGCAGCAGGCCAACTGATCTGCCACTTAACATCATAATGCGCAAAACCCAACACAAAGGTTGATCTACGGTATTAGCCTAATATCGGTTCACACACAGGATTATCGCTGTACAGATTATTTTCCTGGCTGATTCCAGTTACTGATTTTTTAAAAGGTCTGACCTGACGATTCTAATTTTGGCCATTCCAATTTTATTTCGAAGATCTATAATTGACAGCATAAACAAAACTTTTGTATCCATTTATTGGAAAAATCTATTTTTATTAGGATCCCGATAAGCACCAGTATAAATGTTAGCTATTCTGACTGGTCTCATTTGTATGGTCATAATGAAACATTGATTATAAAATAACATTAGCATTTTTACTGGAAGGAGTTGAAAATAAATTGCACACCATTTTAATTCTACTTAATTCTCCAATTTATTTTTGTGTTTAATCACAAACTATTTGATGCACACTTCAACACCTGTCTGTCTGACTTTATTTGTCAGCAGTTTTATTTAAAAGAACTCGCCTTTAGTTTTTCACCCGCGATTCCGTTTTAACAGCAGCAGATGAGCCGCGTGTGGAGGACGCTTTGTTAATTACGGATAGAGACCACCATGGTATGAATGGCATCATCACCAACAGCTGTGTTCACTGTTGCTTTACCTGCTCCCTGCTTTACAATATCCACAGCGTCTCTTTCAGTGTGTTTCTCTGCAGATGTAGTGAGCGTTGAGTCTTCTTCACTCTTGTGAATAACTTCCACACACCTAAGACATGTTTTAGCCTGTGTGTGTGTGGCTGTGACCACGGAAGCCATATAGGGGGAAAAGTTAGGACAATTCCAAAGGGCCCCTGACTGACAGGGCCCCAAAAAGTAATTATAAACTAATATCAAATTATATTATATTAAACATTATATAAACCATCATTGAGTATAAATATATATCAAATATAATAATAAAATGAATGACATAGGGCCCAAAATCAGTGGCCCTTGCCCACCTGTAACTGTCATTGGCTGTTAAAGTCTTTGCAGTGTTGATAACGCACAGCCTAAGCAGTCCTTCAGAATGCTCTGTATTACATGTACATGCATACTGTATGTATTAGTGAGAGGGACGGGGGAGTATCAGGGTGGGAGGGAAAATCACAGTGTAAAATAGACTACACCACTGGATTCTTCCCTAATTACTGATAGGTGCTGTCCTGTGCTGATGATGATCGTGTGTGTAACAGGTTAATGACACTCAAATGGAGCAAACACACTGAGGTAACAGCTGCTTCTTAAACATGTCACAGCGTAACATATTTATTCACTAGCTGCTTTAAGATAGAAACATATAAGGCAGATAGAGAACATCAAACCTGTCACCTCTACATGCACATACACCTCTACATTTGGCTCTATCAAAGTAAAAGAAATCCATATTTGATGTTATTAGCACTTTAGCGCCCCCTGTTGACACTGTAGTTTTCTAAAAACTGATCAGTAATCCAAAACTGTATTACATATATACACACACAAAGATCTGTCTTTTTTTGTGCTGGCTAAATCCAGCAAATTCTTAAGTAGAATTTTACACATTTTCTTTTTTACAAGCCAGCTGATGTTATTGTACGCGTCATTCATCTGTGCAGACTATCCAGTAATCTCTTCAGTTCTGATTACAGATCTTAAACAGATAAAGCTTTCTTCTCACAGATCCATCGATGTTTCTCATCACACTTCACAGCTTTCCATTTCTTGGAAGGTGTCCCTCTGATAGAAATCACACAATGAGCTTCACCAGAAGGTGCTTTTGTCCAGTAGCTGAGGAAAGAACGTGATGGTTAGATCCCAGCTGACACATTTTATTATTCATGGTGTTTAGAAAATCATCTTACTCTTGAGTCTTTAGAATAGTTCCATTGATCCACGTCCAATTTCCAGCTTCAGCTCTCTGGCCAATCCAGTAGTCATAACTGCCCCAGTTAAAGTTGACATATTTCTGATATTCACAGAAAGACAATATCAGTTTATCATGTTTAACCACTGTACTGACAAAACACTCTGTGGCTTTAACTGTTTCTGACTTCATGCAGCTTCTTTTCTAAACCCTCTAAGGTGATGACGCATAGATTAGATGCTTGCCTTTGGTGTGGGAGACCTGGGTTCAATTCCCAATGTGCGACATCCACCATTGTGTCCCTGAGCAAGACACTTAACCTCTAGTTGCTCCAGAGGCGTGCGACCTCTGACTTGCATAGCAATTGTAAGTTGCTTTGGATAAAAGTGTTAGCTAAATGTAAATATTCCACACATTGATCTCCATCCTTTTTTATCATATACACAGAATCTCTAGTGTTATCAAGTTTGTCTGAGGTTCTCCTGTGCAGGAATATCACATTATAGGTTTTGATTAATAGAGTTCACATTTATCATGCATGAAAATTTCAAGTACATCCAGTGTGTTAAGAAATACATACATTTTTATTTAGTGTTTTCATTTTTGTATAATATATCATTTTCAATTACAATTAATTAGATCATCTCAGGGGGAGAAATAACAGTTTAAACTTTTAAAAATCAAAAGAACAAGGTTTACAGTGTACCAATGTTATATTTCACAGAGAAGAGAATGGTTTTTAGTTCTGCTTTGAAGTTGTGACAGTTGTTGTTTGGTTCGTGGTGAATGCTGAGTTGATGGTAAGTTTTCTACTTTAGTGGTTTTAAGCAGTTCTCACACTGCTGCAGGTCACCTTTCATCAACCGACAGTCATTTTTATCATAATCAAATAGATTTGCCCGTTTTGTTTGTTTATTAACAGAGAGACAGTTGTCAAATATTTAAACTCTGTACTTAAACACACTGTGGCCTACAGACTCAGTGTGTTCAGACAGAAAATACATTTTCATTTCATATAGGCTGTCATAAAAATGTTCAGTGTTCTCATTACCTTCTCCTTTTGATCAAGTTTAACAACCAGATCTGAAATCTTTCCTCTGCAGTTTTCTCGAGCTTCTTCCCAGGTTTTCTGACCAGAAACACCAGGGTTATTAATCGCATAGCAGCTGGATTCTGAGAGTGTCCAACCATCCTGACAAGCGTTACACTGTCTGTCTGAAACAACAGAGACAAACCAATAAACAACATTACTGCATTGTGATATTGTTATTAATATTGTCGGTTATTTTTTTACTTCATTAACGGGGATCTGAACATACTTTGGTTTTCTTTTGGGCAGTAGGCATCAATGCTCCACTGAGCTCGACTGACGTTGAGCTCATTCCTCTTTGTCTTCAGCTCCTGGTTTTCTGCAGACAGCTTGGTGTTTTGTGATGTCAGGTTCTGGTTTTCTGCAGACAGCTTGGTGTTTTGTGATGTCACGTTCTGGTTTTCTGCAGACAGCTTGGTGTTTTGTGATGTCAGGTTCTGGTTTTCTGCAGACAGCTTGGTGTTTTGTGATGTCAGGTTCTGGTTTTCTGCAGACAGGTTTGTGATGTTACTTTTTAAGACAGTATAGGCTTGTGTCAGGTTCTCCAACTGGACTGTCAGATTGTTGTGTTCCCTCCTCAAGTTTTCATTTTCTGAGCTGAGTTTGTTGTTCTGGTTTGTCAGGTTTCCATTGAGAGCCAGTAGAATCGTTTGGTTTTCTTTCAGCTGATTCTGCTCACTTTCATGGATAAATGTAACAACTGCAAATAGGAAATAAGCTTCTTGAGTGATAATAATGATGCAATTTTGTCTTTGTCACTTTCCCATTTTTGGAAGCTTTGTGTTACTTCAGGTTATTTAGACTTACGGAAGCTGTAGGTTCTTATCATGTTTCTTAAATTTATGAGATCAACAAATCCTCTGAAAAGACTAAATGTTTTCTGACTTCCTGAGCCCTTTGGTTCCTACTGACCCCTTAAATATTTGACATTGCCTAAAACAGCTGGGCACTGTAATTTTTCTCAGCTGCAATTGTGCACTAGCAGGCCTTTATGGTCTGCGTCTGTGGGACAGTGGCTGTGTTCATTGTTGTGAAGGAACATGTCACCCAGTGCAACACTGTGACTCGCTGAAGTGTTAATAGTTAATAGTTTATAGACAATTGTGGGTCTCTATGGCACAGCCAGATAAGATCTATCAGGCTTTGATACACAGATATATTTGTTTGTAGGATCAATTCAGTGTTTGTTTGGGGCTGATCATGGAATATGTTGACAGCAATTCATTTGACTAATTGTTTAATTCCTTTTATGCATATGTAACAGAGTTAAAAATGCACTTTAATAATTCTTATTTCCAAATGTGCATCTGTGGATTTTTTTAATGATTTTATTGAATATTTGTGAATTTTATCTCATTGAGTTATTTTTATTTATATTTATTTTTGCTATTTTTTCCTGTGGAAATGTCCATAGCTGCACACTACCCCTTTTGTACCTCCTGAGCTTCCGTAGTGCTCGTCTCCCTCAGTTGCGTCTTGCACCGCTGAGGGAAAGTTGTGTGGAAAAGTGCTGCTGGGTTTATGTATTGTTTTCTTTGGAAATTGAACCATTTACGTTAAAACTTTAAACACAAATTGTGCAATTTCAATATGGTTATGTCACGTAGCAGTTTTGTATTAGTGTGACCGTTAAAATACGTTTTATCAGTGTTTTCATTTTAACTTTCTAGCGCCAGTTTTACCACGGCAGGCGGGCCGTGTCATGTTACCTATGTAACCTGTCAGAGTTTTCAGCGTCTTGTCACTTGAGTAAATGCTGTATTTTTGTATGTTTAGGAAGCAGAGGTAATGTAAGAGGAGGCCAGGGGGCAATTGATGTGTGCATTGTGTTCTGCAGATGTGCGAGCCAATAAATTGTGGAAAAGAAGTGATCTGAAGAGTCATCCTTCACACACCCGACCACACCCGTTACACATACATGTCTGTTTTCCACTAATGCTGTCACCAGTCTTCCTCTGCTGTGTTGTGGCTTCTGGTTGTATATGAAAGATATATTCAATCAACTCAACTTGTTTTTCAAATTTGTCTATGATGCAGACAAACCCAAGAGTTGGCGGCTTGATGCTTTCTGAGATGCTGCACTGTACAAATAAAGTAAATGGTTTGCACATTGTTAAAAATATAAATCACATAAACAAGAACAGTCGTATTACTTACTGTCTATTGTCTACATTGTGTCGAGAAATGAACTTTGTTCGTAACAGATTTAGACTAGAGGCAGAAATCTATAGGTAAAACAACCTGTAATAGATCCTCTGGTTATGGTTATAGTAATGTTACAGAGGAAAACTGGTGCTGTTATTCTTCGAGGTGTGTCTCATGTCTGAGTCTGAGGTACTGCATAGACTACCTGTTTTGTATACTTACTGTAGACACAGACTGCTATGATGCCCAACAGCAAAATGACACAAAGAATCCCCAAACAACAAGCCACCTGCTGATAGCAGCGACCTCTGCTGTTTTGTTTTCTTGTCTGGCAAAAGTCCTGCTGAGAACAAACAACACATATAAGTATATGGCTACAGCAGTCTGAGTTAACCAAATCAAGAGGGTATTTTTTCAGTAGTCGAAGTTACAGTATTTCTACACCAAACTCTTAAACTTTGGTGTAAAAAGACTTAAAAAGTCAGTAAGTAAAAGACAGTAAAGATACCCACTTGATTTGACTAACTCAGACTGCTAAAAGCTTCAGATGAACTTTGGAACACATTTCTATACAGAACAAAGACTTTACATTTTGTCTCCCATCTCTTACAGTCGAAGCACATTACAAAGGAAATTATTACAGGCAGCAAAACATGTTTCAGTATTCACATGGGCACCTTGTTTAATGATGGACTTTAAAATGTGTGAACCTGTTCTTTAAGAAAAGTGCTTTTTGTCATTGTGCTAAAAGTAGCATTAGAAGCAGTAATAGAAGAATTGGTGGCAGTTGTAACAGCAGAATTTCTGTAGTTTTAGTGGCTGTAAAATAAATGTTGCAGTTGAAGCACTTGTCAAACACTTGGCAAAATACAAATCAGAAATTCTCTAAATATAAATTCCCTACTATGGCTTAAACTCCAAAAACAATGGATCCTACACTTCCCATAATTCAAGGTGATTTTATCTTTTCACTAGAGCTTCCCTGCCTGTGAAACAGCAACATCTTTTTGAACTCCACACCCCCAGTTTGTAAGTCTTTGTTAAAATTAGCAGTCTCTAAGTTAAACTGAAGGCATCATCAGGTTATTAACAAAGCTCCTACTGTTTTCACAGGCTGAGCAGTACTCCTCATGACCCCCCTATTAGTTCCCTTTTAATGGTTGTAATAACGGTAAATGTGAGGTAGTATTTGTAGCAGTAATAGTAGTATTAATAGATATACTCTACTGAATGCTGTGTACATTTTTCTTTACAACTTACTGTTTGTGTCAGCAGTCTTTTCGGTTGTTTTGCTTCGCACCTTCACATCACTGTACACAGTTTCCTCCTCATTATTAGCTGAAAGGTTGAAGAACACAATCTTGTGGTTAATTTCTGTATAGTGTCTAAATTGTAAAGGCTTTTGGAGGCTTATTTTAACATTTGAATTTATTGCTATTGTCCCAGTATCTTCTGTTAGAATGAGAAATAATTCAGTGTTTTCCCAGAACTGTATTCTGTGTAGACCTTCACAGGGCAGCTAAAACCCAAATTAACCAACTCTCACATTTAGCGGATCATGAAAGGGGAAACTCTGCATTTTATGGGAAACATTTTTAAAATAACCAGTTCATTACGAATGCTTCTGCCTGGTTTTAGACAGCTGTGGTCAGTGGAATCTCCAGTGTGGGTTACACAAATGGGCACTATCAAACAAAAGCAAACTAAAACCCATCCGTTTACATCCAATATCTTCAATATGTATATGACAATAGATGTTTTGGAGTAGCAGATTACAGCAACTGAGGTTAGGGCCAATCCACTGGATTACAGTTAGTAAAAGATTCAAATTTTAAAGTAAATATTAATTCAGAAGACACAATCATTCTAAACAGTTTAACATTTACAGAGAACAGTTCACCACAATCAGTAGCGGCCTGGCCATCTGGAGAACCGTGACAGTGGGCCGCCTTCCTCAGCTTAAATTTTTGTACTAATAACGAAAAAGGTGGCAGAAGGTTGAGCAACACGGGCCAAACCCCCCACTCTTCTTGCCTGTTGGTCTATTCCATATGAACGTCAATGCAGCCCTTAGCCCCACCCCATCCATCCACCTCACTCACACCACAGTGACTCTGACAGCTGGAAAACAAGCTACAACTGAAAATGGAAAAACAGAGTTTAACTGAAATGCAAGTAAATGTACAAAAGTAACTGACTAGTTCTGTAGTAGTAGGTCCACAGACGCTAAGACCGGGAAGAGGAAGATGCCACAACCCGGTTCATGGGTGAAAGATTAAACAGAGAGGACATCGAAGCCACAGATAGTGTCATGGGGGGGGTGGCTGCGTGAAGACTGAGGTGCAGACTAAAAGGCGAGGATGCAGTTCAAAAAGATATATTAACTCAAAAAACCAAACTGAAACAAGCTTATGTGGAAGCACAAGGTAAAGTCCAAACTGAGGTAAATCCAACAAACACAAGGTAATCCAAAGATCCAGGGAACATTGACAACAGAGGATGTGACAAAGACTGAACAAAACTAAGGGCTTAAATACACAGGCAAATGAGCAAGGAGGGAAGCACAGCTGAAACACATCAGGTACTCAAACAACAGGAAGCAAAGCTAGACAAGGACACATGAGTACTGAATACTACAAAGTAAAACAGAAGTAAAGTACACGGGAACACACTAGAACTGAGGCAAAGAACTAAAATGCAGGACTAAGACCTAAGATAAGAGACAAGACAGATACGAAGTAAACTTAAACATGCAAATGAGTAAAATAATAAACAAGGCTACACAGAGAAACACAGAACCACAAACAGACTTAAACAGGATCAACAAAACAAAGAGCAAACATGGGCAAAACAGTAGAACACAAGACATAGAACCAAAACAATACCAGAATCCTTAACTCATAACAGATGGTGCAGCTGAACAGTACAGTGTTCCCATACACTGATTTATTTGGGGTGGCCTGCGACAATATCAACGCTGACCGCCACATATTTATTTTCAATTGTTTTTACTAGGCCTATTAAAAATCTTTACAGAGCTGCGCGCATGTATTTGCTTATCTCTGTTCACTGCACAAATCTCTCCAACACAACGCTGTCAATGCTGGAGACTCACCACTTTTCAACACAAAGCGACAGACGTTTGCAGGCACGCAGTAACATCACAGTTAATATCGTGGGACATTTATGCAGCAAAACAAACAAAAATAGTTTAAAACTAGACAGGTCAGAAACTCTGCAGAGGAAACAGAATTCCCCTTTTAGCGTCTGAAATGTTTGCTCTGATGGAGCTCAGGATTGATCAGGAGGACGGCTGCTTTACTCCAGACTGTGTCTCTGTATGAACCTGGACTGTGTACGAGACCTTTTGGATGTGTTGAAAAACACAGCATATTATTTAACATTAGATCCTGATGATCCTGTCAGCTTGTCGGGAGATTTAAATATGAAGTTATGCTGCTGTGGCTCGTGCGTAAATGCGCACGGCGTCTCTCTTCATGGGGAGACGCTTCACCCCGTTTCACACAACCTGAAATTTGCTAAACGTATTTATTGCGCGCACAATGTTGTCATGTGTTTCCCCAGGTCTGGACACTAACCATCGATGGGGGAACAGTTTTTCAACTTGAGGGTTGCAATAGTGTCATTTCCACTGGGAACATGCAAGCATTTGCTAAAAGTTCTCTGAAAATTAGCTTGCAACAACAAATGTTAGGCTAAATAACTAACAAATTCTATGAGAACTACTTGCACAATAGAAAAGCATGAAATGCAATGTAAATATAGAAGAAACAGATCTGCCTTGTCCAACAAAAGTAACTTAGGTTAAAAAAACAAGCAACTGATTACTGCATTATATTCAACAATATTTTTATATTCTGATTTGTAACCGGCCACATGTATTTTTTTTCCTTCATATAAATAAATACATTTTCCCATTAATGGTGCAGAAAATGTCTCCAGAATGCAGGAAATTAAGAGTTTAATGGTCAAAATTTTCTGGGGAGGATCTCCAGACCCCCCAATCAAATACCCTATTTCATCAATGAATATTTTTTCAAAATAGCATTGGAGTATCTTGTTGTCTTCATGTTTTGTCACACAACTAATATGAGGCCTTAAATGTTCCCACCACTTCAGCTGCGTCCACATGGTCCTAAAGCCTTTATTTAAGTTGAGCTTGTTATCAATGTTTTAATTCAAATTTGTTTTATTAATAGGCTATAGACTGAATATAATTATGGAGGTCTGGACCTCAGTGACCTCATAGCTGGTTATGGCCATGCCTTTTAAAAGTAGTAGCCTACTGCCATAGTGATCAATGGCTGTGATGCTGCTGGGTGGTTTATTAGAGGCTGGTCCTGTTTGTACGTGCCTGTATTAGCAGGGTGGCCGTGGTGGAGTATAAGGTGGATCGTTTTGGTGGCCCGGTCTGGATCAAAGTCCAGCGCTATTTTTGCTCACAGTCTGTCCAAAATTTCCAAAATGTCATGCTGCTCATTCTTTCTGTGGATACATCAACTTATTTTGCCAATATAGTAAATGGGGCCCCAATTTTTAACGTTTTCATGGTTGCACAACAAATGTTACTAACAGGATAGTAAAATATTACTTTAATATTATTTCATATTCTGATCATTACAATTTCCACTTGTATATATTGTCCAGTTTTAAGTAAGAAGTCACATTATGATGATGATCACATTCAGGTCAGCCACCTAGAACAACCAGCTGGGCCGTGTGGGGGCCCAGGTAGATTGATGTGTAAACAAGGTACAGTATCTGATCCATATCAATGACATGATGGGTTTTGAGAAATCTTTCTTGATTTAAAAAATAAATGCATTAAAAAAACTGAACTTACCTTCAGGTGGGGAACGCTTGTTAGTTTTGAATACAACTGAAGCGTAGCTGACCTCCTCCTCCGCCATCGCTACAGTCCTTCTGTTGAGTTCTATCTGACTTGTAGACAGAATAACCACAGTTGTTAAACCACAGAGCATCGTCTTGGGGAACTGCTTGTTTCCTTTTTTTAGCTGGGTCTGTCACTCACAGCCTTATATAAGCAACTTCCGTTTTTAGTTGAGAAAGAAAAAAATATAAAACCGTATGAGAAAAACACTTCGCAAATATTTCCCAAATATACCCCGAATTCAGACACACAGAAACTCTCCTATTTACTGGGAGAAATGCCAGAATGCCAAATCATTGCAGCAAAATATCTCCTCATGCCACAAACTGAGGACAACCAGTGGAAACTCAGAATAGACTGATAAATATTATAAATAATTGTACTATAAAATTTTAAATTATTATTATTATTTTCATTTTTGTCATTTCAGTAATTGTTCCTTTATTTGTTTTTTGTTTTTTAATTTCACATTTGACACTGATTTTTTAGTTGTTTTTGTTTGTTCATCAGAGACCTCTGATGTTTTACCTGGAATCTGCTGCTACTCTCCCAATTTTGGGGTCACAGCCCCCAGTGCTCCGATTACCACTGGCACCACTGTTGCTCTTACTTTCCACATCTTTTCTAGCTCCTCTTTCAGCCCTTGGTATTTCTCAAGCTTCTCGTGTTCCTTCTTCTTGATGTTGCTGTCGCTTGGGATTGCCACATCTATCACCACAGCCTTCTTCTGCTGTTTGTCGATCAACATGATGTCTGGTTGGTCAGCCATCACCAGTTTGTCAGTCTGGATCTTGAAGTCCCAGTGCACCTGGGGTCCTGCCTGGTGTGGTAGACCCCGGCCTCTATTGATCTTGTACTGAGTGCCTGTTCTAGTACCATCACGATTAGTGCTTCTGTGCTGTCCTTCAGTCCAGCCTTTTCCAGCCACTGGTAGGATTTCTTGATTTCGGCCACTTCTTCTATTTGTCTGTGGAACATGCCGTGCAGCGGCTTGTCTCTCCATGAAGGTTCTTCATCTTCCTTGTCCTTACCCTCGGGTTTCTGCTGCCTGAGGTATTCACTAAGCCCTTCATCTTTGGGGTCATCTTCCTGCTGTACTCCTGGATCTTTGTTGTTTCATCCTGGACAGTGGTCTTGACACTCACTAGCCCTCAGCCTCCCTCATATTTGTGGTGAAACCCTCCATGCATTGTGAGGAGCTTTTTTGTCTTGATGTCAGTAGCCTCTATCTCCTCCTTTGGCCAGTTTATTATACCAGTGGGGTATCTGATGACTGGCAGGGCATGCAGGGTATGTGTTGATGGCTCGGATCTTGTTTTTCCCATTCAGCTGACTTTTAAGGAACTGCCATAATTTTTGCAGGTATTGGGCTGTGGCGGACTTCCTTCCTGCCTCCTCATGGTTTCTGTTAGCCTGCGGCACCCCAAGGTATTTGTAGCTGTCCTGAACATCTGCAATGTGGCCTTCTGGTAGTTCAATCCCCTTGGTTCTGATCATCTTCGCTCTTTTTGATACCATGCGACCACACTTGTCCAGTCCGAACAACATTCCAATGTCATCGCTGTAGATCCTGGTAGTGTGGATCAGTGAGTCGATGTCTTGCTCATTTCTGTCATACAGCTTGATGTCATCCATGTAGAGCAGGTGACTGATGGTTGTTCCACTTCGGAACCGGTATCCGTAGCCAGTCTTTGTGATGATCTGGCTGAGGGGGTTCAGGCCTATGCAGAACAGCAGCGGTGATAGATCACCTTGGTATATGCCGCACTTGATGGTGACTTGTGCAATTGGCTTTGAGTTGGCTTCCAGACTTGTTTTCCACAGCCCCATTGAGTTCTGGATGAAGGCTATTAGTGTCCTGTTGATTTTGTACATTTCCAAGCATTCTAGTATCCATGTATGTGGCATTGAGTCGTAAGCTTTCTTGTAGTCAATCCAGGCGGTGAACAGATTGGTCTGCCTGGTCTTGGTGCTTGGCTCCTCTGGTAATACTGCCCATTCCCTTCTGGGCCCTGTCCATGTATTGAGCCATGAGCCTACTCATCTTAGCCGCTATGATGCCTGACAGGAGCTTCCATGTTGTGCAGAGGCAGGTTATTGGCCGGTAGTTGGATGGGATTGTTCCCTTCTGGGGGTCCTTCATGATCAGGACTGTCCATCCTTGGGTTAACCATTCTGGGTGGGTCCCATCCATCAGCAGTTGGTTCATTTGTGCTGCCAGACGTTTATGGAGTGCAGTTAGTTTCTTCAGCCAGTAGATGTGGATTATGTCAGGGCCTGGTGCTGTCAAGCTCTTCATACCTGCCACTCTTTCTTGGATGTCTGCCGTTGTAATGGTTACTGGATCTTGTTCTGGGAGATTACTGTGATCTGTTCTTAGATCCACTAGCCACTGAGCATTGGTGTTGTGGGATGCTTCTTTGTCCCATATGTTCTTCCAGTACTGTTCAGATTCCTGGGTGGATCTGATCTTGTGTTATTACCCTGCCACTGAGAGTACACTTTGGATGGTTCGGTGGGGAACATCCAGTTTATTCTCCTGGCTTCTGCTTCTCCCTTGTATCTTTTTAGGTGGGTAGCCAGATCAAGGCAACACGAAGAGACACACCCTTTTGTTTTATTTACTTTATTTAATGAACTGTATGAAATGAATTGTTCTTTTGTAGTTTATTTGTAGCTTTAGCAATATTGTTTTACATTCATGCCAATGAAGCTGAATTGAATTGACAGGCTTTATGGAGACTCTGAACAATTTGCAGGTTCCTCTCTTAAATCACATCATATCTTGATATTCAACATTTCATTATTGTGGCCCTTTCAAAGTAGAAGAAAATCCACATTTGATGATAGTAATCTCTGATAGAAATCACACAATGAGCTTCACCAGAAGGTGCTTCTGTCCAGTAGCTGAGGAAAGAACGTGATGGTTAGATCCCAGCTGACACATTTTATTATTCATGGTGTTTAGAAAATCATCTTACTCTTGTGTCTTTAGAAAAGTTCCAATGATCCAATCCAGTAGACTAATTGGCCCCAGGGAAAATCAACATATTTTTGATGTTCACAGAAAGACAAAATCAGTTTATCATGTTTAACCACTTTACTGACAAAAACACTCTTTAACGGTTTCTGACTTCATGCAGATTCTTTTCTAAACCCTCTAAATCAGCTAAATAATCAACACATTGATCTCCATCCTTTTTTCATCATATACACAGAAAATACATTTGACATTTGTACTGTATATCTCTAGTGTTATCAAGGTTTGTCTGAGGTTCTCCTGTGCAGCATTAGAATGCTATACATTTTGATCAAAGGAGTTCACATTTATCATGCACATTTCAAAGTACATTCCAAAGTTGTTTAAGCACATTTAAGAAATCCTTTACAAAATAAATTTCAATATATTGTTTTCATTTCTGTTTAAATTAAATCTTTTTCAAATATAAGTAATTAGATTACATCTCAGGGGGAGAAACGTTATATTTTAAACTGCTCTCTAAAAATCCCTCTTACTAAAAGAATGACGTTTACAGTGTACCAATTTTATATTTCACAGAGAAGAGAATGGTTTTTAGTTCTGCTTTGAAGTTGTGACAGTTGTTGTTTGGTTAGTGGTGAATGCTGAGTTGATGGCAAGTTTTCTACTTTAGTTGTTTAAAGCCACACTGTTTGTCTGCAGCAAACAATTTTCAACACAATTCAACGTCACACCATGATTACTAAACTCCACCACCTGCATGTGCCACCTCTCCTCATTCGCTGGATCCATAATTTCCTCATTGACAGACCACAGGCAGTGAGGGTGGGAAGCACTACATCCACCACCATTACTGTCAACACTGGAGCCCCCCAAGGCTGCGTCCTGAGCCCCTTTCTTTACACTCTCTACACCAATGACTGCATTAGCCCTTCTCCCATTACAAAATACTTCAAATACTCTGATGACTCAGCCATACTTGCCCACCTCTCTGACACAGAATCAGTTACAGCATATCACCAATCCATTGCACACTTCACACAATGGTGTAAAGACAGTCACCTCCTCCTCAACATCACAAAGACAAAGGAACTCATCCTGGACATACGCCAGTGTTGTGAACAAACAGCGTGGTTTGGGCATTTTAAATCAAATACATTTGGACTACTCCAAATTCTTGGAGGAGGGGGTGAGATATCAACTCAACAGACAGTCGAAGCAACTCCAAAGAAGAGGTGAAAGGTTTGCTGTTTCTGGGCAGTCTGATCGTAAAACTGGCCACCTTTGGCAGCAGCCGTGATAAGCCTCGGTGCCTGACTGTTAAAATGACAAAGGAACACTGACCAGAGATTAGCGTTCTCATGAACAGGCAAAAAAAACTCTTCTTAAGAGAGAGCAGGAAACCCTAAACTGCCCCCACACGCGTAACCACGGCAACTGACCTTCTTGTCTTTTTAATTACCTCACATCAAAGGATATTCTCCTCTTCACGCGCAGGTGTGAGAAACTCGAGACGCCAGAGAAAGGACACATTCCTTTGTGTGGACAAGGAATACTGTCTCCTCATAACTTGCCATTATCTTGTTTAATTAAATAATCTTTTAGTTACTTGATTAGGTCTCTACACTCCATTTGAGTAGTTATGTTACCATGTTGGTGTTATTTGTTGTTGAAAAGAATCTAAATAAGTTAATTTTGCAGTGTTTTAATTTTCAGCTAGGTCACCTGACTTTATTCATTTTATGTGTAACCAAAGCTTTGTTCACAACACTTTCTGACACTTCCTTTAGAAATGATGATAAAGAAATGTCATCCTATACTATTAATTTTCCAGCTTGAATTTAAGGTTAAAAATGACTAAATTCCCCAGCTCCTAAGAAGATTGTTTCAGGATTAATCAGAGCTATCCTCATGTAACCCGAGCTCCCCCAAGTGGAGCGCTGCAGGTGGAGCTGAGCCAGGCCCGGACACGCCCATACACACACAGACAGGACAAGGCAGACACGACTGACAGAGACAGCAGGGAAGGGAAACACTGGGAACACGAGGAAAAGAGGGGAAGGCGAAGCCAAACCATAACAGCAGGAGCTTCAACATCAGGAGTAAAAGAGCTGGGCAGAAGAGGAGTCACA